ATAATTCTGTAATTTAAAATATATAAATATACAAGCATTGCCCGCGGCTCCACCCGCGTTCAGATGACCAAAAACTAAATTCTTAGGTTTTACATATTAGTATACTCTTACATAGCAGTTTTTGTATTATTTTTTTCAGAAATGAGATGATTTCCCGTGGTAAAAAGTATCGTATATGTTGACCCGGATAACCAGCTATCACCATACCAACTTTCATCAAAATCCCTCCAGTGGTTTTTCTGTGATGCGGTAACAGACAGACAGACAAAAAATGTAAAAACTATAAATTCTGCCTCCGTATCAATAATGTTTATTTCAATAAGATTTTCCAAAAAATATTTATTGTACAGATTCGGTTTAGTTACAATTTTATTATAGGTATGTATAGAAATAATTACAAAAGCTAATCTTAGCTACTAGACGGATATCGGAAATAGAACGGATCGTGATCGACACTACAATGTGGATCGGGCCTTAGGAAGAGTCTCACAGTCCCCTGCCCGTATACGGCAAAGGCATTATGATCGGTTTTGGATATAAAAATAGGTCTCCAATAGAGTATAAAATGTAGTTTTTTGTATACGAAAGTTTGTATGTGTATGTATGATTGTTACTCTTTCACGTCGAATAGGCTAAATGGATTTTAATAAATTTTAATACACATATAGACTATGATCTTTGTAGCACATAGACTAGTTTCAGACATTTAGAAACAAGAGACCCAAAAGAAACAAGAGACCCAAGAGAAACGAGAGACCCAAGAGAAAGTTTTTAGTATTAAACACTTTTGAATTAGTCTCCCAGTTATCTAATTAAAGGGATGCGGTTTTAATCTTATGTGAGAGATGAATTTGGATTGATCATCTAAAAAGAATTAATCTAGTTTAATTATAAGATGTAACATGACGTTAAAAATGTTAATCAGCCCGTATTTTCTCAAAATACGCAAAATATGAATAAATAAATAAATATGTTGGGACATTAACACAGCGCCATCTAGTTCCATGGTAAGCTACGAGGCTTGTATAATAGATACCAGATAGTTGATACACTACACATATGATATATAACTTTAAATACATACACAATATTATAAATAATGACATACATGACTGGAGTACAAACATTCGTGCTTATCACACAAATGAATACCCCCAGCGGGACCCGAACCAGCGACCGCTGGCACAGCAAGTAGGGTCACTATAAACTGAGCCAAACGTGTCGACTAACGCAGTGGTACATTTTCTTTTGTCTTCGCAAGAGAAAAGTAAATAATATTGTAACCAGTTTAAATACAACGAGACACAGGCTTAGTCTCTCAATCGACCACAGCAAAAGGAAGAATTAGTATAATAAATGTACAAACTGCATTATACTGGATAAATGTGTCAGAAAGACGACGCCGCTAATTCCCGTTGATAGGGAGCAAAGATTGTGCAAACACTGGCCGAGTTATAAAGTCTATTGTTCTTTCAATTTTTCCTCTCTCTAGAGACACTTTATAATGACTCGACTTTTTATTGTTGAATTCAAGTTTTTAAAAAATTTTAATTGAGGTTCGACACGATTTCTAAATATCTATGTAAGTATTAGGCCTATCAAAACAAATTATATTTTAAATACTTTATAAGCCAAAGGTATTCGAAATGTTTAAAAAAACTACTTTTTAATTTATAACCTATCTATACAGATAAATAAAATTGAAGTGTCTGTTTGTAATGTCAAAATAACAGCTTTTTACTAATATATAGCATATGGATGTATGTATACACGGTACCTATACCAAAACAACATTTTTTACAATTTTTGGCTGTCTGTATGCCTGTTTGTTCCGGCTAATCTCTGAAATGGCTGGACCAATTTTGACGGGCCTCATTGGCAGATAGCTAATGTAATAAGGAGTAACTTAGGCTACTTTTATTTTAGAAAAAAATAGGGTCCAACGATTTTTTTTTTAAACCAATGAAAAATTTAATAATATCCGATTTAAATAGAGAAGTTGTATACATACCCTAGGGACGAACCCGAGCGAAGCAAGGGTGAGTCGCTAGTACTATAAATAACTTTGACACCATGACGTATTATTATTATAAAAAAATCGAGTTAAGATTATAAAATATTCTCTCTATCGATAATAATGACTATATCAATAAGATTTAAAAAATATTTAGTGTACAGATGCAACTCAGAATTTTATCATATGTATAGATTTAGTTCCCGGGTCCGACAAAGTTTAGTTATTGAGTTTTTCTGTTACGAAAGGCCCAGTAACAGCGTGGAGTTGGGAAGTTGGCGGTGTTTCACCCCCGTGCCTCGGAGAGCACGTAAAGCCGTCGGCCCTGCGCCTGATCTCACCGGTCGTGTCGAACTATAGTCCCATCGGAATTTGAGAGTAAAATGAACAGAGAGTGCACGTTTGTGTCTGCGTCTAGTCAGATTTAAATAAAATTTAGAACACAGATAGGTTAAAACTTGGAGTAACACATAGCTACTATTAGTAACAAATTGCCAAATAGCTGTTTGTATATTATAATATATATTATATATATATTCAATTTTTTTGAGCGGAACCTTAATTCTTTTTCTAAATTTAATGTAACCTATGTTACTACCTATAACATCAGCTATCTACCAGTGAAAGTCGAGTCAAAATCAGTCCAGCCGTTTCAAAGATTATTCGGGACAAACAGACAAACAGACAAAAATAAAGAAAGTGTTTGTCTTATAAATACGGTATATAATTTCATATGCATTTAGTAAAACGCTGTTATTTTGAAATTACAAACAGACACTTCAATTTTATTTATCCGTATAGATAAAATACAAAAGAAGAAAATAATAAGAGAGAAACGAGAGTAAATAATTAATATTAAATAAAACAACAAAATACAAATTCCAACATAATGCTTTATTTTACAAATACTACTTTACCATCTAATATTACGCCGTATTATACAGACATTGCATATGTACAGAAATTTCAACATTCAAATACAATATTACGTAAAGATATAAGGCACATTTATAACATCTTAAACAAAATTTATAACTACTTTATATCCATTGAAAATTAATTCGAACGGACTTTTCATTATATTTGGGAACTTTCTTACTAAAGTTATCAAATCGATATAATTCTAATAGAAACTATTTACAATATTTTATAAAATAAGGAAAGATTTTTGAATAAATAAAATAAAAATTTCGATTAATCAAAAAAAAAACTTTTAAATTTTACTATGTTGAATACGTAAGACCAATAATTAAGAAAAATAAAATAATACTTTTTTAGATTTACGCGAACATTTGACATTTTAAATAAAACTGTCTTTTCGGATTTTTTCGCGGACTGTCTGTAAGAAGCATATATAACGCCTTTGAGACGTCTAAAACCTTAGTCTTTTCCGAGACCATGATTACTCTCGGCCTATGGTATGCCTTCGAAGCGTCGGAACCAAAAATCTGAATAAATCCGAAAAAAAACTCGAAAAAATAGTTGTATTTAAAATAACAAAATGATATAAAAAAAAATTTTTTCCAATAAAAATCTACAGTTAGATGACACTGGCACGTCACATTTAAAATTTGGATAATTTATTTTGATATGAATTGAAGTTACGCCTTACGTTTAATTTGAGAAAAATATTCTACATTATTTTTACAACATTTATTCTATTTATACAAGTAACTGGCAGTTTTGTATCTACGCATAAAATCTTATAAAAATCACAAATTGGAATGTAATGTATGTGGATATTTTAGCGTATTCATACATTTATATATATATAACGGTACAATAGTGTCTCATAAAGAGTTTGGAATTTAAAACAAAATGCACATTTAATGCTATTTTTTCATATTATTTCCAATCAAATGAAAATATATTACAATTGTAATAATCATTCATAATAATGATATATTTAATTAACATTCTAAATAATAAAAAAAAAACACTGTAATATGTTCACAAATTACAATAGAAGTCCTTCAAGGATCTTTTTAGGCCCATATTTTATAACATATACATACTATATAGAAAATAAAAATTCGAAAAATAACACAATCAACATTTTAAATTTCAATAAATTTTCAATAAAAAAACACATTAATGAAAACAGTCAGTCATTTTATATAATTCCTAACAATGCCAAAATGTAAGACCCAGTAAAATAAATTCGCTTCAAAGTTTACAAATACAAAAATAATTATTAAGTATATTAACTAAACTATACTATTATATAATATATAATTATTAATAATACTTAACTATAGTATTTCATAAATATTTTCCACTAGTTCCATTTTCTAGGACGAATGTTATATACTAATACAATATGGAAAAAATCACAATAACGTCTTGTCATCTAGTCCATTCATTTCAAAACGAATTTCAATACAATCAAATATTTAACATTAAAATTTGATAATATGTAGCAAGATATGTACATAATATTATTAAAACTAACACCTGCATGTAATACTCGAAGTAGAATACTATTATACATAGATAATACAAACTCTTTACACTAACTAAAAATAGAAAATTGGCGTCTAAGAGAAAATGGATTAAATTATGAAACAGATGATAATCTCATTGAAGTCTTTTAAGGATATCGTTCGAGACATAATTATAAAGGGTTAAAAGGCTATAAAATTTCACACTTTGTAAAGTTATCTTTTATCAATTAACTAAAAAACTTTGAGGTCTAAAGTTAGGCCAAGTTGAGGGGTTAAAATAGAGGTTACAACGTTCTCAAAATTTAAAACATTTACCAAGAAATAAATTTTACCGATTTAACATGTAACAAAAGAAAACCTTTATCGCAGTTACATTTAGACGATTTTTGAAATCTAACTAAAACACTGCTACTTATAAAGCACAAATGCGTTCAACAACAAGTGATATACATACATATATATAGATTCACTCACAGTCACTGATGTCTGTATGAGTGTCCGTGTGTTTATATAAACAACACTTCGTCATAGGCCTCCGGCTACTCGGCCGTTAGTTCAGGACTTAATCTATCAGCATTGAAGTTCTCCATGTTCCACATTTGCCTGGTCTCCGATTCATTGCAAGTTTCCATTATTATCTTATCTTTATTTCTTGATATCGCCATACATTTTTCGCTTGAGCCGTGTTTTAGTAGCTTCGTCTGTAATTTATTTTGAAAATTTCAATGAAAAACGAAATATTGTAATAAAATAAAGTATTTTTAATAACATTATAATATAAATACATTATTATTCTTGTACATGAAAAAAAAACAAATGTCAATAATTACTGTAAATAATTCATAAAAAGCCTTAGTAAATTTGTCAATCTGCCTAAACTTATCAAAAATCTAAAAACACCCCAATTTATAGAATATAATGAAAACACTGTAATAACGGAAACACCAGAAATAAATGAAAAAATTCGAGTAACCGATAACCTCATCAATCATAAGTCAATTTACCTGTCAAATCTAACATGAAACGCGGCTTATGGGATAAATTTAAGTAAAGTGAGTTTAAAAAAACCACAAAAATGCACATTTATTACTTACATTGGGGTCATACAACCATAATTGATTACCCTTTGCACCGTGACAAGGGTAAAGAACGACGTCGTGACCTGAATAGTCGAGACAAGTTTCGTCACGACGAATTTCACCATTCTTCGAATACATCCAGTACTGAAAATATTTAATTATGGCATAAATACTTTTTACGGTTCTTGCTAAAAGTGACTAAATTTAAAAGTAATATATTAAATTAAAAAAAATTATACATATTCTAATACGATGCAACTTTCTTTAGCCACTATTAATTAATTAAAAAAATCATATTATTTTCTTCGACCGTTTAAATATTACCTAGTAAAAAGAATTTACAGTTCTAAAAAAGTTATCCTCCATCTATCATCATATACATACATTAAAGCTAAATAATTTTAAAGTTGAATATATGTATTTGGTTAAAAGCGTAAATATATTCCCTCTCTCCCTTATTTGTTATTTATAAATGTTACAATATTGCTATATATGAAGAAAATTATTATTTATATGCCATGCATGCATTTAATAATCAAAATCGATAAAAAATAAACATAGGATCTGATTCAGTGTAAAATTAAAAAAATAAATACAATAATTACTTTTAACTAAAAGCCACTGCAACATCGCATCAATAGTATTTTCTCCGCCCTTAGAAATATAAGCAACCCCCTTGAGATAAAATATATTAATTATATAAAGTTCACCATAGGCGAAATATCGCGTAACATACACACAAAAATATCTCCTATACATTTTTTAAGTTGCTCAAACATCTAGAAATAATTAAAATAAAATTTACATTCAAAAAAAAATATAATTAAATTACAGAACAAGAGAGGATACACCGAGTGGCTTAATACTAACTCGAATGGAGGATAAACAAACAAAAGTTGTCTAAGACTACTTATATATAATATTAGATAAAATAAATCTAATGTTAGTCTTAATCTATTAACTAAGCTTAAATACTAAAAACCTGGCGGCAGTACCAAAGTTGAAGTAATCATTATAATATATGAACACACGATTAAGAAAATATAAAAGTTGACCCGTACTAATATCATTTCGTGCGCGACCAAACTAAGTATAGATTAAAAATCTAAATTGTTAGTATTACCAGAATGATAAAAGATTTTTCATTAGTTATCATGACATATTAGTATAGCATACAAATAAAAAAAGAGACGTTCAAAACGTATGCGTGTGGAATAAATAACGAATGACTTGGTCGTCACGCAATAGCTTTGTTGATTAGTAGGCAATTTGATATGCGATAAAAAAATAATGAGGAATATAACAATGTAAATTTAAAATTTATTTAAATAAAGACACTAAAATAATGTAAGAAACAAGATTTAGGTACTCATAACAACGAATAAAAGTTGTATATTTTAATGCATATAATATTCCAACATTTTTACGGAGATGATATTTTCTTGGTAAAAAGATTGCCAAATCTACTCTTATATTTATATTTTCATATAAAATTGACATTGCATAATTCCCCTCCATCGCAAGTTACGTATCAACAAAACAACAAATGTTACACCCAAATTAATGATGATGTAGAAAGTTATAAGACAAAGCAAAAGCGTAGTCGTAGTGTCTCAAGACAAACCTGGTTGCCGTATTCCCCATGACAAGGCCATAAATTGACGGGTTTTTTCAATTCTTCCGGTCCCGCCGCAGAATCCACGCACATATCCGACGATGGGTTCGCGATCTAATTTCATCGATAATTTTAAAAGGCGTGCCAAAGCAAGCGTGCTGCTAACATTATTACTTGACATTTGAGGTGCATGTGACTCTAACTATTAGAGTGCTTTATGGCTATTTAGTACTTATAAAGAAAATATATTAACATATTTAATATTATATTATTTTATTACATTCAGATAATTTAGATTTAATTTTGCAAAATGCCGTAAAATATCTAACTGCGTTTGATTGATCAATTCATTCAGCAAAGACCGTACATTTATATTAAGTACAAGTAATAATGTTATAATGATGGTGGTAATGATGATTCAAACAAAAAATAATACGCTTATTCCTCATATAAGAATAAGTTTGTATTTGTGCCATTCGTTTAACCCATAAACAAATACAAGCACTCTTTCGATACCTGATTGCTACCACCATGATGGCAGGAATGTATCATTATAGTTTCTACTTCTTGCGATTCTTCTACCGATTCACCATCGAGACAACGGTCGCCGAAAACGTCGTTACGAATCTAACGTCAATACACAATGAGAATAAAACTAAAAAAAAAACCTGCCAGATCGTGCAAAAACGTGCTTGAGAATTGTAAATTTCAGATCAAAAATTCTTTACACGATGGAATTTCGTACAATTCCATTGCGCTCAGATTTTTTTTCTACAAAGTGAAAATACAAGTGTAAGTTAACACTTATAAGTGCTCGCATGCTAGGAAATCAGAGTGCAAAAAGGGACATAAACGAAATAATATTGTTTGTCTAAACGATTTTTCAACGTGGTACTGCCGAAAGGTGCAATTTTAAACGACAAAACACCTGATTTCCTCCTTGACGGTGACACGGATAAAGTCCGACTGGTTTATGATGATCAGATTTTCGTGTCGGTGAATCCAGACATGTTTTTTCGAAGGCGATATTTCGAATCTGTACAGGTAATAATTTTGAAGGACACATTGTAAACACGGTTATTTAATAAAAAATAAAATTACAGCACTCTTCTAAAGTTCAGCAGAATATTGATCGTGAAAATCATATTTTCAAATTAAATAGAAAAACAAACTTTGTGAAATAAATTTCAAGTACTCTTTGCACTATAAAAGTAATACAAACCTCGCCGTGAGCAACAGATTCACCCGGAATAAACAATTCGGGGTAAATATTCTTCAAGTACCATTCGAATGATTTACATCCCAGTTTTTGCCTTAAGTTTCTACGGCTGCTTATATCACCGTAGTCACCTTTATCGTTACCTACGCGTTGATAATAGTATTTGGCGTAATCGTCTAACCACACCTAAAATAAAAAAAAAGTCACACATAAATAACTCCAACTATACTGTTATAACTTTTAAGTCCAATAATTTCATTTTTATTACCTCAGCCAACCTTACTGAATTCTTCTTCAGAACATTAACACCAGTTCTCCATTTGTATGGTGATCTCTTTCTAAATATATGACCAACGTGTGAGCAGGGAACGATTTCAAGCGTACCACCACACATCCAAGTTTTGAAAGACAATTCTAAATTTTCCCCGCCCCATATATCAAAACCGCTGTCATACGTTCCAAGTCTTTCGAAGAATTCCTTATCAATTGCGAATAAGCCGCCAGCCATAGTCGGAGACCAGACGGGTTCTGCTGTGTGTTTATGTCTGGCCCTTTCCTTAGCAGGAACGGGATGCCAGTTGAATTGAAGGTTCCAATCGAAACCACCCACATTAACTGATGATGAATCCCTATAGTGATATTCTAATGTATTATCATCTATAACGTCGATGACAGGGCATACAACTGTCGTTTTATTACGGGCAATCCTATCCAATAAGGGTTCAAGCCAACCTGCGAACAACGTTAATCTGATAATTTATAATAACAGTCATCTGATATTATATATATAATGGATATCCATTACATGTCTGATAATTTATATCCGTAATACTTTTACCTAGAAATGAATAGTAGATACAATAAATGAATTAGTGCTATCTAACGAAAAACATCATCCCTAATTACTTATACTCTGGAATGTTCAGTTCAAATAAACTAAAACATCTGTGGTTATATATAAAAACACATTCTTAGTCCTGATGTTCTCCCGACCGATTCCGGCCACGGCGGCCAATCTCATTGAGACTAGCCAACTGCGCAGGAGATATTATAGTGCAGCGTGTGTGCGCGCAGACACAACGTGCACTCTTTATTGCTATCACTCTCATACTCCGGTGGGACGACTGTTCGACACGACCGGTGAGAGTTAAGGCGCAGGACCGACGGCTTTACGTGCTCTCCGAGGCACGGGGGTGAAACACCGTCAACTTCCCAACTCCGGGCTGTTACTGAGGCTTACTATACAGAAAAACTCAATAACTAAACTTGGCCCGACCCGGGATTCGAACCCAGGACCTCCGGATGTGCAGCCGTACATGCTAGCCTCTACACCACCAAGGCAGTAACTCTTCTTAGTTCTAATTCAATTAAGAAAACCAATAAATTAAGACCCGCTTTAGATAAATGTTTAATCCTCAATACACTCCAACTATTATACAAATAAAAGATTATCCCAAAAATGTAAATAATTCTTTTTCTAAAATAAAAGTACACTAAACTAAATTACTCCCTATAACATCAGTTATCTGCCAGTGGAAATCCCGTCAAAATTGGTCCAACCGTTTCGGAGATTAGTCGGAACAAATAGATAGACAGACAAAAATTTTAAAAATCGTGTTTTTCTTTTTAGTACCAACATATACAATTTCATATTATGCATTTAGTAAAAAGCTGTTATTTTGACATTACAAAAAGACACTTCAATTTTATTTATCTGTACCTATAGATTATCCAAAATCAGATTAATATATAAGAAAATACAATATAGTATATGGAAGCTCGTTAAAAAGGCCGATAAATACATCAACTCACCTTCGGTACACTCGCAATGGCTGTCTAGATACGTTAGAACAGGTGCCGTGACGTATCGAGCTCCGAGCAATCTCGCTCTAATGAGGCCCTCGCGTCGAGTGGCGCGCACTATCCTTACTTTCGGCAGGGACGACATATAATCGTCGAGTTGTTGCATCAAATGCGCTGAAACGCAATCCGATGTTAGGATAACGATGAAACTTTGAGAGAGCAGTTAGAAAAACTTATAATTTTACAAGGATTTTTTGTTTCATATAAACGTAAAATATTTTCTTCATACAACATCGTATCATATTTATAAGTTTTAGGAATTTATAAGATGGTAACAAACATAAATTGACTATATCTCTCTTTAACTAAGAGTTAAATGTACCTACATGTTAACCCTCTTATTAACCTGCTCTTAGCAACGTACGTGACAAGCTTAAGTAACAGATTTACCCTTAGTTTATCACGTATAATTTATTAAATACATAAGTGAGCAAACAGATTATAATAACACATTAAAACTAAGTATATAAAATATTAGAATTTAACGACACAAATTTCGATTCGAGCATCTTAGGTTCAATAAACTATACTTACGCATATCAGAGAAGTCATCAACAAGAATAATCTCCTTTATCAAATGAGGCGGTGATCTGTCAATGACCGAATGTACAGTCCGAAGTAACACTGACCAGGCTTCATTGTGGAAACATATTACTACCGACGTCTGTGGGAGATCTTCTAGATAGCGTCCAGGTTGTTTACACCTTTATGTAAATAATAATAGAATAATACATTTAAAAACAATATAATAATTCGATATACAAACAACAACAACAACAACAAGATAAAGAAAAATTTTGCAAAACAGTATTCTGGTATCAGCCTCAAAAATCAAAGAGCTTCTATTTTCCTGATACAAATGTAAAGGCACTTACCACTCGTCCCTCGGGTCGGGTAGTTTCCGCCTAATCGATATCAAGTCGCTCACGTACTGATTGAAAGCGTTCTTTTTCCATCCCTCAGAAACCGCCAATTTTGCATCCTCGCTCATATTCGTTGGTAGCACAACCGGTTTTCCCAGTTCGCCGGGTGCGTTGTCTGAACCGGGGGCAGCAATTACGCCGAGCCCTGCAGGACAAAATCGATTAAGGCTTTTTTACTCTTACGTGTCTCTCTGTTAATATGGATATCGAATCAAAGTGCTATTTCCAATATAAATCTTAACAATAAGAATTTTATAAGATTTATAGTTTATCCTAATTGTAATATGAATTAACATACACATATGTACCCAAATATGTATCAATGAAAACTTAGATCGATATTTAGTTTAATTTCACAATATTAATTCAGTAAGTTTCCTCATCAACCTGACCTCCAAACGCTATATATTTCCGTGAAAGCGCAGAACCCAGATCTCGATAGGACGTGTGACGTTGGCACGTTACATCCGATACGTGTGAAATAGGGCTAATGTTAGCGATTAATAACATCCCTTTAGATCGTGAGAATATTGCCCATTAATTGGCTTTCTATTTTAATATACGAGTGTATCTCAAAGTATGTTTTAAGTATGAACGTTATAAAAATTCCACATTATATCTTTATTACAAAATGATATCAAGATTGGCTAAATATAAACAAATAATTTAAACTGAAACATGCTTTTTCATCTGAAAACTAATTATAAATATTAAAATATTTTGACAACACATGAGTGACATACCCCCTAGATATTATCAAGTTTTAGACGAATTAACTGACACAATACACAACATAAACACATTTATAATATACACTAAAAAACAAAAATATATTATTTACATAGAAAGCAAAAAGCATTTAGAATTACCTTCTTTCCCAGCGATCCGACCCATCCAGTCGACTCGCGTTGGTGCTGCGATTGATAAAGGAACATTATCATGCAATATCTACATGGACCAAAACATTGCATATGTTGGACAGTTATTTCCTCCAAACTATATTATTAAGCCCGTTTTATTGAATTATTGCTAATTTCAATTGTTAAATTAAATATTTTAATATAGGAGGTACCGATATGACTCATCCAGCATATGTACGTATATTATCATATCCTTTAAGGATGATAAATATAAAAATATTAATATAATTAACTTAACTGATTATAATATGACATGATTTAGTTGAGTTGACTCTAATTTAATAAAGAAAACTAGATTATTACAAATAGGAATAATATATATTCTAAAGGGCGGAGTCTAGCAGTGAAATAGTACAAATCTCTTGGGATACTTTCATTCTACATTCATTTGGCTCTGTAACGTCTTCCCTCATTACCATTTCTATTGCGTGGGCTAATAAAGACAATTGAGGCTGGTTTCTAAAGAACATGGGGACAGCACGAATTAGAACTCTAATGGACTTGTGATTTAGAATGGTCATAAAATTCGTGACAGGCGATAGCTCGGCTGCATGAAATTTATAGTGATAATATAAATTAAACAACATTTTATTGACTTTAGCTACAATAATTTATATTCACTGATATTTTTTATATTTTCAACGATACTAATTTATAATATCACTTCAATTTCATTTCTAACAAAAATTTGATCATGCAATTTGTATAGACATACACGTATTTTTAGAAACAATATCAACGTTAAGAAACGTAATTATTAGCAAACGAAGTGCGGCGGATGCATTAAAGTTATCAAATAGCATCAGCACCTATTGTTACTACACCATTAAAGCTCATGCAATTTGCAATGTCTCGTAAAACACGCTTACCATCAGATAAGTTGTTGCCGTAGGATTCACTTTTCTTTTTAGTGGACGATGGTTTGGCCATTTTTAGCGGTTTCGCCTCGGGATCTTCGTATTCCATCGGTGGAGCTCCGATGGCATTCCTTGCATTTGAATTTGTAGTTAGCAAAGCCACCATAAACCACAATGCTGTCAGAATCAGCACTGCTTTTAGTATTAACGTTCTTCTTCTCAAAAAAAACATGCTGTAATATTTCATTTTGCTAGTTTCTATTTAAGTCTAACCTAACACAGTTAACGTCTATCTCAAAATACTAAAATTTATATCTCCTCATATGACTAATTCAGGAAATATTATAATTTTTGAGCAATAAGGGAAAATTATTTATAATCACGGATAAGTGACTAGCATCAAATAATAGATATGTCGATTGATCGTGATATTAATCAGGATATGCTTTTGGAGATTGATATGTTTATTTTGTTTTCTTTACATTATTTTGCTTCCAATTCTAGGCTATAATTTTGCCTTCATATGGCTATCGCAAATTTTTTTTCTAGTTTTTTGACTCATTTCAAATGTTTATTTCGCTTCATTTTTTCTTCCAGGAATGCCAATCCTGTAAAAAAACAGAATTTTTAATAAAACAGTTTCGTTGTAGCTAGTTCATATTACAATATATCCTTAATTGCTGCGAAAAACAGCTTGTTCAAAGGAAGAATAAAAAATATACACGATTATAATGTCAAAGCAAAATAGCAGGAAATGCACTGGACGTTAGATAATGAATCCTCAACGTTTTCGCCCAAGTGGGTGTGCTCAGTTCATACATATTGTATAGGGAGGAAGTTTTTTTTCCACAAATTTGCTCCCAAAGCGAAGTGATAGCATCGATAAATTTACAAGGTTATTTAAGAAACATTTTAATATGGTCCATGTTAAATTGTTCGTACATAAGTAATTCGAAAAGAATTGTTTAAAAAAATTATAATTGAAAATTTGATTGATTGTATATTACTTTTCACATAAAAGCACGACAATAACCAATCAACAGTCAATTGTAAGGTGTAAAAGGTAAGGTGTGTGTAAAAATTGAAGGTGTTGGCTTTTTTAATATGTAAAGTATGTTTCATATTTTTATATGAAAATTTGCTTGAAATTTTTTTATCGATTATTCGTCTGAGAGCTTATATATCAGACTTAAAGTAAAACTATTGCAACTCGAATAAAATTTTAAAGAAGCTACTACATTATACGATCGAATTTCTTCTGAAGAGTTTTGTGACTTTTATACATAATATGGCAAAAAGCTCTTATTACTGGCATTTTTATAGAAACAGTACTTATCCATACTAATATTATAAATGAAACATAAAGTTGTCAAAAAAATTATAGAACACATTTCTATGAAAATTAGCAAGATTGAATCACGGTCATAGGTCATCTTCGTTATCCCCACCTCGTTTACTATGCGAGCGGAATCACAGGCAAAAACTAGTAATTAATATAATGGTATAGAGTATATCAAATTTTATTGAGTCTGATTATATTATTTTTATTAAATACAAATGTGGTGTACTCACAATCCTTTAACTCCGCCGAAGTCCTCAGCTTATTTCTGTAACAAAGTTATGTCAACATTTAATATTTACACTATGAACTACATATATACCAATTTAGGAGCTAGCCCAAAACCGAGATGAGAACTGTTTTAGCCCAATCACTATTTCGATTAAAACGTGAATATTTTAGTAGCAATGCCGATCATCCCTGTCACCTCTGGGTATATTTTGGGATCGAAGGAAGAGGATTTTCGAGTACTAAATATTCTTTCTTATCTATTGTTTATTACTCACTAGAGACATACGTTTTATTTTTATTTTTTTTGAGCGGAAGTCTTAATTCTTTTTCTAAAAGAAAAGTAGCCTAAGTTACTTACATAGCATCAGCTATCTTCCAGTAAAAGTCCCGTCAAAATCCGTCCAGCCGTTTCAGAGATTATTCGGAACAAACAGACAGACAGACCGTACATAATTTCATATGCATATAGTAAAACGCTGTCATTTTGACATTACGAACAGACACTTCATTATTATTTATCTGTATAGATAGATGACATTTAGAGAATCACTTTTTCTTCTACCGTATTACGTTCACATCTAAGATACACGGTATATAAGTAAATACACAAACTGTTACGTGGCTCATATTTCAAGCAACTAAATATTATGTACTTATCATCCCAGTCTCTCTTTATAAGGATTAAAAGATTTAGTATAATAACTTTCTTCTAATGTTATTAATATAATGCAATAGTACTATTATTCTCATTATCACTACTGGCTTAGTGTAATCGTTACTTAAAACTTTTAGATAATTAAAAAATATATAATGGAATGCATTTTACATTTGCATAAATGAATAAGTGTTAAAGGAAGAATTAATAAAACTTTACGGTCTCGTTAAAATTCTGTTGCCGGTGATTAAAATGATAAGGTATAGCAAAACTTATATACTTGTTTAACAAATATTATTTATTTTTCCTATACTAAAATCACACTAAAATTTAGACATTTTGTAGCTCATAGTTTTAAACTTGCAAAAATCATTATGTGCCTAGAGCGACTATTTCATTTTAATTCCACTAAGAAAAATATATCAAATTGCTCTACGAGGACTTAATTTAAAATTCATCCTCGGCAAAAGTTAATGCACAATGAAGTTGGAATAAACTTCTGTCTCTTGATATTATTATTGTGAAGTAGTTCCATTACAGCACCGAAATTGTAGTAAGTAGAAATGTATTACTATTTATGAAATTCTGGCGAACTTCTGTCTTCTGCGCATTATATTTGAACTTCCTAAATTAAATATAATCACTTGTTGTTTCTGAAATTTAATTTTAAACTAAAATTTTATGATAATATCTGTATAAGTACCAGTCTGCCAATGGCTTTGCTCTCTTCTTTTGAATATATACATATTATATAATATAATTAATATCACCTCCATAGAGTCGTATCAGATAACTCATACATAACCTTTATGCATAAATGGGCTATATATTCGACGATACGTTTGGCTCAGTTTGTAGTGACGCTACTTGCTGTGCCAGCGGTCGCGGTTTCGAGTCCCGCTGGGGGCATTCATTTGTGTGATGAGCACGAATGTCTGTACACCAGTCATGGGTGTTTATATTTATAATATGTATGTATTTAAAGTTATAATATAATATGTGTAGTTTATTAACTATCTGGTATCTATAACACAAGCCTCGTAGCTTACCATGGAACTAAATAGTGTTGTGTGTTAATGTCCCAACATATTAAATATAAAACTAATTTTTCGAATCCGACTAGTAGCTTTACCAGAGATTAACGCGTTCAAACAAACAATCTCTTCAGCTTAAAATAATATTATTAGGTATATCTAGATAGTCTCTATATACGCGTAATATAAATATTTGATGTTAAAGCTCCCCTGCAAATATTTCATATTACTTCCACGTGTAATACATGTATGAATTATTAAAACTTGACGTTACGCCAATGATTTTCGCTTGTTCTCAATTAATTTTATCGTAGTGAAATATTCAACGACTTCGAAATAGCCTATTAAAAATTTAAAAGTTCATATGAACTTCTTTACCGTAGCAGTAAAAATTGTAAAAAATAATAATTGACTGAGTAACTATTTCATTAACTTTTGCTCCGTAGCAGTTAATTAAGAAAATAGAATTTCCGGTTTTCAATATTATAATTTTCATAACACTATAATGTAATAAATCGTGGTTAAGTAATAGTGCAAGAAAGAGATAAATGGAAAGGATTGGAGAAGGCCTATGTCGCAAGACAACCTGACCCAGTAAAAAGACAAGAATAACAGTTGGCAACGATAAAACAGATAACCGTCTATACATTTAATAAAATTTATAACTAAGCCGAATCTGTACATTAAATATTTTTTGGAAAATCTTATTGAAATAGACATTATTATCGAGACAGAGGCCGAATCTATAATTTTTAGAATTTTTGTCTGTCTGTCTGTAACCGCATCACAGAAAAACCACTGGAGGGATTTTGATGAAATTTGGTATGATAATAGCTGGTTATCCGGGTCAATATATAGGATACTTTTTACCGCGGGAAAATGTCGCAATTCTGAGAAAAAATACAAAAACTGCAATGTAAGAGTATACTAATATGCAAAAGCCTAAGAATTTCGTTTTTGTTCATCAGAACGCGGGCGGAGCCGCGGGCAATGCTAGTATACTATAAAAACAAATAAATAACGTACTTTCACCTTTTTAAAAATCGGATAAAATACAAATAACACCCTCTCAGTGACCGGTGGAGCTGTAATGGCGGTCATTTATATCAGCACACCCCGTAGCATCTACGGTAATTGGGCGTGCGGTACGGAATCGTGTAATTCCATTAGTCGACTCCCTAAGAGATATCGATTCCCCGACTTGTAATCCGATTAATTATTTAATTGTCAACTCTGTACAAATTATTGTTGCTTTGCGTATCCAATGGGGAATTAGTATTTGCTTTGTTTATATTATTACATTTTAATGTAACTAGATTGTTAATGTTTCTACCTACATGCGACCAATTTGACCTTATACATATAATTAAAAGGGCTACTATTAAAAATACTAAAGTTTGTATGTGTATTTGTGCACACACAGTGTATGTTTGGCTGGACGGATTTCAATGAACTAACTGAAAGACTACTGGACACTATTCTACCATTGTACAAATATAAAAAATTATAACAAATTTTAATAAAATTATAATAATATCTTTATAAGTCACTTTTTCGCTTATCAAAAAACATTTACAGAATTATCAACTATCACTTATAAAATATTTTTTCTTCAAACAACAGGTATCATACATCGGAAATCGAACAATTTTCAAAACATCCTCTGAAGCGTAACGCATCGCTGTGTTTGTAACCTAAGCTAAAAGATAATATATCGCATTCAACCTAGAATGCGACTGCAAGGAAGCGCGAGAGGTCGGTAACCTCCCCGTTCTATGAGAATTCTGCTAATGACATTTGTGAGGTATTAAACCAGTCCTTACCCGATGCAACTGCGGTGGTCTTTTATTCTCATCATTTTTTTTAACTCTTCCTACTCTTAGAATAGATTAAAAAATCAACAGGATGCTCATTTAGTTTCTTTGCACGTAAAGTATGAAGTTGTACAGAATAGTTTGTTTTCTTTGCTTTTA